ATTATGTTATCACCTACAGCATGGACATATTCGAATCGAGATTCTTTTTTTTAAATAGGGCCTAGTTGTCTAGTCCTGTGATGTCCTTCGAAGAAAAAAAACAGTTAATTAATTCGCAAATAACACCTTGTCTTACTGGATAACACTATCGTAATTTAGTTTCACATTGCCTTTACAGGTTGCGTAGCAAGCTATGTTAGTACTCAATGAGATAGACGTCTTGCCTTAGGTTTTGTATCCTAAAGAAGTCTTGCTTCGAGTTCTTTGTCAAGTATATGCATGTATGGTAGAGCAAACGTGAACAGACCCGAAGGATTATCATCTTCTTGCGATATTCGTCGATATGTTTTCATCCTGATCGTAGCACCTCTAGGTAGTCGATGCATAGCGGCACATCAAAGCGGAACACTGCTTCGCCCCTTTTCATCGTCAGAAACGATGTCTTTAGCGAGAATATCACAGGCACTATATTATGCGGTTTCTTTTTTCCTTCTGACCCTCGATCTCGATAATCGAGCCCCAACCTAAGCAAGCGTATCTATTACAGATGTATCGTGCAGGCGGAAAAGATCAAGCGACTCGTGGGTCCAGGTTTGCGCACGTTATCAACCTGAGACGAAGATGCAATTCACCGACAAGACGTATCAACACCATTAACGCTGCTAGAAGCTGCGGCCCTAGACGTACAGTTTGAGAGCAGAGAAACCTTCACGAAATGATATCTTCAAATAAAAGCCTACCCCTCAAATACTCGAACCATTGCCCGCACAGCTGGCTGCCTCAAGTCAACCAACGCAATGTAAAAAGGCCGCGTTAGTTCCGCTGAACTGATTCTCTCTCTCTGTCTCCATCGTCGTATCTTCTTCGTGCCGGAAACCGCACTCCGCCCTCGCAGTGATCGTAGCGCCGACCGCAATCGCGTGAGTTCGTCGATCTCACACCTCCTTGCTCTAGCGAGAGGCGTGGCGCGGAATCGCCACCGTCGGGAAATCGCGCTACTCAGTAGGTATCATCAGCGGTTGATCTTAATTAAACGAACCAATTTACCGGCCAAAGAGCTAGACGGTAGCTTTCGGACTACATGTTCAGCGGACATCGGGGTGCGTCTAGTAGCTGCCGGTTCGCTGCCACTACCTTGAACACCGAACAGCCACAAACTGCTCAGAGCTCGTCGATACTGGCCACTGCATAATCTGAGTCAAACTCGAACGCATCTATGAATACTGGAGTTTTCTGTTTCTGCCTCTATGTCTCGTTGTCTTTTTTCTTTAGTTCGCTGTCAATGATCTTTAGCTTTTTGAACGATCTGCAAGGCTCACCGAACGTGTAGGCGATACTAGTCGGAGTCGTTTGAAGTTGTAGGCGTCGTCTGGGCTTGAATCGGTTTCGATAGAGGTGAGGTTCTCATCATACCTATTCCTTCTCTCGTATTCATACATATCCATACAGTCGTACATAGAAGGCAGGAAGAAAAACAGCCAAGCTTCTGTCGGTCACCGCGTTCCCGGAATGAGCGATGCTGATAGGTGTTACTTCTCCTCTCAACGGGGTCACCTACCAGCGTCTACTGAGCCCTACATAGCATGGACTAAAGATAGGCTGGCAATCTATCGACCGCTAGAAGCCATCGCATATATCTCTATGCGATCAAATTATAGATATACGTACCACAGTGTTCATCCAATAAACTTTTTACTCGACGCGCCATTGGCTCATCGTCGCCGGATGAAATCGCTTCCGAGCTCACTTTCTCGCGCAATGCTGGATCTGTACACCCGCCTTCGTCGTTTCGAACAACCGACCGACGGTGGCAGTACTATACTGTACAAGAAACAATATCGGCCTAAGATGGCCGACGGCTGTAACTCGGTCTATTCATATGTGTGTACGCTGCACAATGCTTCGTAGGTGTCCAATCAGTATAGCTCTGTTATTTCTGCTATAGCGACCACACACATCAGAGCTGAGTGTCGCCAGCCATCGCCCGAGAACCGCCTCTAATAACAGCAAGAAGTGACAATAACATCGACAACTTCTCGTTGAAGTGAAAGGTGTTATCAATAGAGCAAGAACCGTGTCAATTGGGTTACCCGAACAGAGTTTTCGTAATACCTTTTATCAAAATGCTACAAATTTCGATAGGTGTCTAAGTAATCCTGTGTCGATATGCTCGTAAGCAAGTTGTGGACCGAAAGCGAACGCAACTATGACCATTGTGCAATCACGGTCTACATGAAAATTCATTTGTTCTCCAGGCAATAACTTGCACCGGGTGACACTTTGTTTATTAAAGTAAATCAGCTCGTGCCGTCGTGCACGCTGCATGCTTTTTTCAGTATTTTCAGAGGCCCATCTGAATATAACAGCATAGCTAAGTTTTCACGCGAATTTTTGAATTGTTGAAGTTACACAGAGGACAAAGTTTAGACCATATCGATAACGTTGCTTGCTGGTTTCGAAGCGGCTCCACTGAGCCTGGGGCATGTTGCTGAGGATGGATGTTCCGCCCTATTTGAGATTCGTCATGTAGATGTTTGACTAAACTGGCAGTGCCATGTTATTAACCTCGGTGTAATAACTTACCTGTTATGCATCATTTGTCAGGAATCAATACTGAGATTGGATATATTACATTGTGATAGAACTTTGCTATTTACTTAACTACCTATTCAGGTGTCGTCATTAGATAGCCTGAACAGGCTTATGGCTTCCTACTTCCTTTGAAGGTAACGGTTTTATGGTGAGAAGATATCCAGTACTGCAACATTCCAATAATAGGTTGCTATCACTTTTGAAAAGATTATATATAATCCATTGTTTAGCAATAAGTATAATAATGTTTTTACTAATGCTTGACAAACTGTAGCATATACATGCATCTTTCTATATCTATTCTATATATTACTAGCCGTGGTCCGTAAAAGATAGCTTGGATACGACTTTTTTTCATCTACATTGTAGCGCTAGAAACAATATATACGGTACGCCTTGGTCCGACTGGACAATGGGATCAAACTGCCTAACAAATTAACAGCAATTTATCACACGCTGCAGACAAAGCTATGTCCGGTGAAACTTTTCTATGCAGTGGCTTACTGATGTCGATATCGGGTTAGCCTACATTTACGCCTTCTCCTTCTTCAGTAGACAAATTTGCAGTTTTCTTACCTGGACCTCCATTCATGTCAATATTGCCTCGTGAACCCCTTCGGCAATGCAAAGGCGCTTACTCAGAACTATTGGCTTTAAGCTATTCTGGGGGTATTGGCGCTAGATAGACAAGCAATAAATTCACGTTCTCGCCGTCACCCCCCCCCCCCACCGGACACCGCCATCCTTTCAAGGGCTGACACCCGCGCCTTCGGTAATGGCTCGCTAAATTGTAGCGA